TTTACGAGGTTGTAACGTAGAAAATGTATTTATAATGAGTAAGAACAAAATATTCATTTAACAAGAAAATTTTCTCTATAATAAAATAGCTGCGTGGCTGTTGAGTACCATAAATTACGGCGGGTGTTAAATTGGAACCGCTCTTAACTTGTACACTCTTTGGACAAAGTCAGCCAACATGGCGACCGTTTGAAAGAAAGGGGTTGAATGTTTGTAGTGCCAACAAAAATGAGGTGAGTTCTCCTTTCTAGAAAGAAAAATAGAATATGTTAAAATGTAACAGGCTAGATATGTTACGAGACAGCCGACTAAACCGTTGTGTTCAAAACAAACGCTGGGCTAAAATCACGTTAAAGTTAGCTAAAATCAGTGCAACTACAACTACTTGCACAAGCTATGCTGTCATTTCGGATACCCAAGATGGCTTAATTGATTTGCATGTTTAGTTATGGATGCCATATAATCCTAACATTTATCACAGGCCATAGATTAACTAATTTCTTCTTAGAATACAACAAATCAGTCATAGAAACTGCATATATTGATTTTTTTCTCTTTTAAACTGGAGCTGAGATGGAAATATTAATAAATACTGCAAATCTGTGTGCAGGCTGCCCCGTTGTTGCTTTGGGCTCCGACGAACCTATTTGTTTTGGGCAATTCTGCTGATCCTCCTGGTTGGTGTAGTCTTGACAGCTCTGCTGCCACCTGCTGAGGACCAAAGAGGTGTTGCTGTCTTGGAGGTGCTACGAAGGGCAACCCCGCAAAAGCAGAATCCCGCACAGGTTCACCACGCTGACAGCTCGGAGGAGAAGAAGTTTACCATCATCATCCAGACTTACAACCGCACAGACGTTTTGCTCAAACTCCTAAACCATTACCAGGGAGTACCTCATCTTCAGAGAATTATCATAGTATGGAACAACATTGGAGAGCAGACACCTGCAAAGCTGTGGAGCTCCTTGGGGCCTCATCCGGTCCAGGTAGTCTTCAAGGAGCAGACCAGCAACCGAATGCGCAACAGACTACAACCATTCCCTGAAATTGATACTGATGGTCAGTACATCTGTCAGCTTGCACCGTATGTATTATTTGTTATATTTAAATACATTTTAGTCAGTGAACAGTAGTATTTTTGTTCTGCTCCTGTAGCTGTTCTGATGCTGGATGATGACACTCTCATCAGTGTACCTGACATCAGTTTTGCTTTTTCTGTCTGGAAGGTAATGAGTATCATAAACTTGAAAAATTTAACTGCAGATTTTAGCCGGCAAACCCTGAGTTGTTTTACTGTTGGGTTCCACAGCAATTTCCAGACCAGATTGTTGGATTTGTACCGAGGAAACATGTCTCAACGGCAGCAGGAGTGTACAGCTATGGCAGCTTTGAGCTGCAGGATCCAGAAACAGCAGGAGGTGACGTGTAGGTTGTTTGTTTTTGGTTTTTTTGTCCACATACCCTGCATGTTATTTGGGCCTGTACTACGAAGCATGCTCGACATACCCAGAATGTTTGTTGCTTATGTGGCTTCACTTATTTTTACATCAGTGTACATCAGTATAGTTCTGTGTTTAATTTTAAACATATCAGTGAGAGAATAACAATCATATCTTAGTATAAAGAATAATGATCATAGCATTTCTATAAGGATTCACAGATGTCAGAAAATTCGTGCAGGGAGATTGTCAAAGCTTTTGGAATGGATGTGAGGTAATGTGCAAAGACGGGACATATGTTTGCCTCTGGAACAAAAACCAGCCACAACAAATAGTGGGGAACCATGTGGGAAAGAAAAGTCCCAGAATTTTATTTGTATTGTTGTTGGCACAGCATATAAAACACTGGGACATGACCACAAGGTAATTAACGAATGATGCGCCAAGGACAAGCATGACTGCTGGCAGTAATGTCAACCACTCATATGGGTTACATCAAAAATCCACAGCAGAAGTCTAAATCAGCTTTAAGCTGTCACAAGAAAGTGGTTATAAACTTAATAGGTCCACTCTAGGCTTACCAGTCTGTCATGTGTTCATGTGAGCATGAACACATGAAAGAGGCAACTTCTGACCAATCACAGACGTGGGCAGATCTAACAGATCTGAGCGGCCTGATTTTAGAAAGGAAGTTAAAACTGTGTCAGACCAGGCAATGTTAAGCTGTGTACAGTACAGGCTCAGAGCAACACGTGTTGCCAAAACAGTAGCGTGAGATTACAAGTGTACGATTTTAAATAGGCTTTATGAATGGAAAAGCACTATTATATTTATAAAGCCTAAGCTGAAGCCAGGAAGAAAATCTGGCAAAAATGCCATCTGTGCGAGTTAACAGACTTCTCAGTATCCTTAAGACTCAGGATAATCTGTTATATCAATGTTTAAATGTGCAGAAAACAATTTTAACTTTATCTTTTCAGCTGAAACTGTGTTGGTGGTGTTTAATGGCTTGAGTGCAAGTTAAGAAAATATATACAAATAGAAATTAAAGACAGGCATAGCATGCTTGCAAATTTGATATCTAGTGTATATCCACATTATAAAGGCGTGGAAGACAATACAATCATTTTAGAAATAGAAATAAAGTTGCTGCTTTAGACGCTAGCTGTCCGTGGACATGTCTGACATGTGTTCCAGGAATGGTGGCACCATTTCCCAGAGAAACGATTGGTCAGTAGATGGTGAGTTTGTACTTGTTGACTTTAAATTGAACATGAGAAAATTCAAGGCTTATTCAGGTAACTTTGGCATAAACCCTGGTTTATGAAGAGGGTTCATTTCTTAGGGGGTAGTTTACCTTGAGAATTTGTGCTGCAGACCTAACCAGTTGTGGAACAGGTTATATTTGCGATCAAGAGATAAAACGTCACTTCCTACTGCCCAATTCACTAGCGGGGACCACATTCTCATTTTAGGTTTGACAGCATTCCTAGTAAATAATGGCAGATGGCTTGAGGATGAATTGAGGCTGCAGTTTGGGGAAGGCCTCAGGGGGGATTGGCGATGGCTCCCAGGCTGGGAAGATCCTCATGTACTAATGAGAAGTGAATGAATTGTAAAAAAAGGAAGGGAGGGTGGGGCACAAAGATGAGAATGAACAGCTTGTAGTGCTCGGGAGGGTCATATATTGATGGATTACTGGAAGGGATGTGTATGGAGGTGTGGTACCACTCCTGAAATTTAGATAAATTCTCTCCACTTAGCTTTCTGGAAAATGGTGTTAACATTGCTGTAAAATCCCCCGAGCCACTCTGAGCAGATAGTAAGAGGGTCTAATGTTTTTCATGAGTCTCTAAAGTCTTCTTTCCATGATGAGTAATAAATATAGATTCTTAGACACAACTAAACAGCAGCTGTTTTTCTTTCAACCTGCATTATAAATTTCCACAGCAGCGAATCACCATCGTATTGCTGAAAATGCAGAGTTAACCCTGAATTTGCATTGCTGCGCCACTAATCCTGCTTCATAGTACAGGCCTCTGGCTAGGTGTACTTTGTTTTTTAAGCTTCCATCTCCCTGCATTCCCTGCAGATACTCCATGGTGTTAATTGGTGCTGCCTTCTTCCACCGCCGCTATTTGCAGCTCTTTCAGGACCAGCCTCAAGCAGTGCATGCTTTAGTGGATGAAACGCAGAACTGTGACGATATTGCCATGAACTTTGCCGTAGCTCTGTATTTAAGAAAACAATCAAAGTTGGGTAAAATGAACAGAGCCTCTGGGGTCTTTATCAAACCCGTGGACCTCCGCAACCTAGAAAAGGAGGCCAGCAGTGGATACCAGGGGATGTGGCATCGTCCCGAACACCTTCTCCAGAGGTCCTACTGCCTGAACAGGTTGACACAGATCTATGGCTTTATGCCTCTTTCCTTCTCCAACCTGATGGTCTCCCAGTTTGGCTTCCCCAGTTATGCAAACCACAAAAGCAGGGGCTGAGGAAGTGCTGTATTACTGATTGCTCTGGATAAAAAGTAGACGATATAGCGTTCTGGTAAGTCTGTTTGATTAACATCATGTGACAGGGTGGAGGATAAGTTTGAATTATCTGTGTGTGTGTGTGTGTGTGTGTGTGTGTGTGTGTGAGAGAGAGAGCGAACGAACTGTGCCTGGAAACTAAAAAATGAAAACTTTAATCTCATTGTACCTCTTTGATTTTTAGCCTACTCTTTTGAGTTTTAGGATTCTGAGCAGTTTTCTCATTCACAGCCCGACAGTGATGGACGCCTGATTTTTGGACAGTGAGGATTGTTAGAAGAATTTGCTGCACATGCCCTTGTCTGATGAGACATCCATATTTGATAAGCTAATCTGTATTGTTTACCAGGAACTGCCTTAGTTACCTTGAAGCCAAAAAAGTGTCAGTCTTTGATCTATTTTGACAACTTAACCTGCTTTATTAGTAACAGATTTAGACTGTCTTAAGATGTAGGTATGCTGTAGTTGTATTTAACCAAAAAAACTTTCCACCAACGTATCTGAATAAAAAGGAATTGTGAAAAGCATTTAACAGTGACTCTTTATGTCCAGGACAGGAATGTGATTTGATAAATAAAATGTTTTCTCAGGGCATGAAGTCATTATTATAATGGTGAAAATAATTTATTCCCTGTTGAATTTGTAAATTTGCTCACTCACAAAGAAATGAACAGTTTCTAATTTTCTATGGCAGTGGTATTTTAATGGAGAAAGACAGAATATCAACCAGAAAAAAACCCCCCATCAAATTCAGCAGGGGGTGAAATACTTCCCCCACTGTATGAGTTCAGGTAGTAATCTGGAGATGTCGGCATCTGAAGAATTAACGGAGTGTGTTTTGGCACCATGAGTCGTGGTATCTTTGTTCCAAATTCTCATATGTGCCAACTATAGATTAAACGCTTCCAATAAAACTTATATTGTCATAAACAGTTTTGTCACAGCTTTAATTTTAAACATATTGCCCTGCTGTGAGGAAAGTATTTCTAACCAAAATAGTTAAACTGCAGGTTTTTAGGTTTTTTTTTAAAAAAAAGTGCCTTGGCCACTTTTTACTGTAATAGAGGGCACTGATAAAGAGATTTGTTACCAAATGAATTATTTACATTAGTAGGTATACGTGGGAGTGCCCATTTATCTAAAATCATTGGATATGCTTATTTGTTCTATTTTTCTCTCAATGTAAAGCTAGTAGTTTGAATGAGTGTGTTAACAGAGGAAAAGGATCAGACAATAAAATTCTTTGTTTTCTAATGTGGAATTTTTGTTCTTTTGTCTGATGGCTAATGCAGTTTTCCAGAACAACATGGACACAAAAACATGGATTAAAAAGGTTTTTAGCTTTGGATTACTAACACCTGTTTTCCACCAGTAATGTGCCTAGTCTGGTGCTGGTCGATGGCCATATTTTGGCAAGTGTCAGAACTTAATTTTTGCATACTATATCAGACGTTAGTGTCACACAGGGCCGAATCTGAATGCTACATTTGGAAATTAGTGGTAAATTACTTGCAGTAATATTCCCATTGCTTCTGAAATCACTGAATCCAAGTGTTGGGAGACTCATTTTTGTGGTGCCACCATTCTTTGTTGGTGTAAATGTGTAGAACCAGTTTGAGATTTGGCAAAGCATTGGTGGAAAATGGCTAAATGAGGTAGCAGAGTTACAGATTACCGGTAGCATAACAGGTGCTTAAAGTCTACAAAGTAAACATCTCGACTGCAACGCTAGACATGAAGTTTCACCTGCTTTTAAGGCATTAAATCAGCAAATGCTCTTTACTAACTTTGGATGTGAAAACTAGATTTATTTATTAATAACAGTCCACTCCATGTCATTGGATAAAAGTGTCCTTGCATATTCTTTTGGATGGGTTCCAGTTCTTTCACAAAGAATTTCAGGGACTTATGATGTTGGTCCTCCACCCCCGGGTCCACCCCCGGGTCCACCCCCGGGTCCACCCCCGGGTCCACCCCCGGGTCCACGTCCAGGCCTAGAACCTCGGCTGCCTGGTGAACGAATGTCATGCCACAACTTCACAAGGGGCTCCCTCTTCCTCCAGATGAGTTTATGACCATATGCCACATACCACCTGTATGAAGAGATGCATGGCACGGTAAAATGTGGAGAAAGCAGAACAAGATGCTCCCATTAGGCCACATTAAGACATTAAAGGATTTAGACTGATCAAAGCAGTGCAGAATCATTGGATTCTTTTTTCATGACTGAGTTCAAAAGCACAAAGCCTTCAAAACAACATTTTGATAATATTAGATATGTTCCACAGGCTTTAAGCTGTATTTGTGACTACACCTGCAACTGTCACATAACCACAATTTTCACACTTGGGCCATGTTATGAGAGCAGGATATTAAAACTGGGCAAAATCTGTCTGCTTATGTAAGTCTAAGAAAACAGTTAAACCCTCCAGAAAAAGTAAGTAATCAGATTTGGGATTAAGACAGTTTCATAAGCCTTGAAACTGTATTTCATATTGTTAACATGGACAGACTTTGAGGAAAGGGTAAAAATAAGACCTGACTCACACTCCAAAGAGGGCTCCGCCAAGGTGAGCTGCATGGTCAAACAGCCGCCATCCCAACAGAAGTCCTGCTGTGTCAATGGCAACTAGCGCTTTCAGAGCCTAAATATAAACAAAGGCAAAGCTGCATTCAGTGTGCTGGCATGCATACTTCCACAGTCACTCATACATGTACCTTTTTATTTGGTCCATGCACACTCGCATCTCTTCCTGCAGCAAAAGCGGGAAGGAAGACAAAAGCAACTCAAGCAACTACTCGTTATATCCGAGGTAGACAGAAGAACATCTCTGAATGCACATGTCCAACCTTAAAGAAGATGGGCCACAGCAACAGAACCCCACAGTGGGTGCCACTCCTGTCAACTAAGAACTGAGGCTACAATTCCCATGGGACAACCAAAGATTGGAAAAACAACATCATTTAGACACAACAGCCTGCCTGTGTATTGCTGCTGATCATGTTCATATGTTTATGACTACAGTGTGCAGGTCTTCTGATGGCTGCTTCCAGCGGGATAACACACCATGTCACAAAGGTCAGATCATCTCGAACTAGTTTCTTGAACATGACAATGAGCTGACTGTGGTCACCGTGTTGAATCAGTGCCATGAAAAATAGGGGCATTTCTGAAGGCAATATGGATTCCAATCGAGCACTTGTAAGGTGTACTTCATAAAGTGTATGTAGGAAATATGAAGTGTGCAGCACTTACTGTTCCTGCTGTGAAAGTGACCATGGGAAGGAAGATTATGCCAAGCTTGGCCTCTGGCATCTTAGAGCAGATAGCAGCGAGCACGGCCATGACGGCGCCGGACTGTAGATCAAAACAGTTACTATCACAGCTGTCCATCATTTGAGTTGAGCTTTAAAATGGATTTTAGCAAATATCTTACCGCCCCTAATGATGGATAGAGACGCCCGGTGGCTGCCTTACATGTGTAACTGACCATAGTGGAAATCACACCTGAAAATCAAACATTTGGTAGCCTTTCTTACTTCCTGTTACCTATATTCTCAATAATCAGCCATGCATAGTACTGAAAGGCCCTAAACGTTTGAGTGTCCCAAAATTAAAATAAGGTTTTTGTGCTGTAGTAAATGATGGATGGAATAACAGCGAGTTTCAGTCAAACATGAAGCAAAGAGATCATTAAACTATCCACCCTGGATTAAACACTAATGTTAAAAATATTCAAGTATTGTGTTTAGATTTAATAAATGTTATCAGACTCCAGTTGTGTGCTTTATTTGACTCACCAGCAGACAGGTAAACTGCAAGAAATTGCTCTTTCCCCAAAAGAGAGACGATCCCTGAGGAGAATATCCATAGGACATACATGTTGGCCACCATGTGGATGATGGAGTAGTGACTGAAGGAGGACAGAGCCATGGGAAGGCAGCGTGTTTCTGGAAGAGGAAGAGGAGAGGGGAAAACAAATACACACACTGCAAACACAAAGAGGACATGATCGTGTAGCACAGGTGAACTCACTGGAAGCTGGGTTGGACGTGAAGTACTTAAGCATACTTCTTTGCATTGAAGGGATTCGCCAACAGCAGAGGACGGCGGCATTTAGTGCGATAATACCTAGAAAAAAATCATAAATAAAGGTGCCAACTATGAAGAAATGCAAAGAGATAAATAAAAAACAAAAAAAACCCCAGACACATAGGGTTGGGTATCGTCACTGATTTCTAGAATCAATTCGATTCCCATTCACAAGCGCAAGGTCCCGAATCGATTCGATCCATGATTCGATTCCATTTGATTCGGGGAAATTTTGCCTCAGACAGTCAGAAATATTATAATTCTGATCACTAATCAGTACATATCCATATTTTATATCTATAAAAAGAAACCTTACACTTGTGAGACTTTATCAAAGGTGTGAGCATCACAGCAGATGCCTTTGTGTCAAAGTAACAGAGGATAAAACACAGACAAACATGAAGGCGATTTTCCTGGCCTGACTTTTTATAGCAGATAACCTTAAAAATATTCTGCAGTAGAACAAAAACTGAAGAAAACCATGAATCAACATGAACATTACCTGATGCTGCTGAAGCGAAGCAGAGCAAAGTTACAGAGGTTTCTATTAGAGATACAGTTAAGCATTTTGCAATTTTGCATAATTTAAAAAGTTAAAATTTCTTCAGTATTGAACAGCAAAAATGCGGCTTTCTTGTCGGAAGTCATTTAAGTAGAAAAGAAAAAAACAACACAGCGGCTGACAGCACTGTTTACAATGGTAGACTGGTAGGTAATAAGCAAGTGAATGGGAAACTGTTCTTGAAGTACACAGAGAGAGAGAGCTGTGCAAGTGTGATTTTATTGTGGTGGAGGCAAAACAGCAAGTAAGAGGGAATTCATGATGATGTTTATGTGAAGCGTAGTTTGGATCTTCTTTTCGCGACTGGTTCAATCAACTTTGGTTGGAGAGACACAAAACCTGCAGCTTCAGAATCTAGCGCAAGAAAAGATTTAAACACAGAGCGCGGACCAGACACATCAAAATGAGTGAGCTGTCGGCTCTCAGCCCCGACAGCATGTCCGTGTACGTCCCGTCGGGCGTGAAAGCGTCGGGTCCGCGCTCTGTTTACGTCTTTGTGCAGAATCCGTGTACCTGCTCTCATTTACTGTTTTAGCTGTTTGGTGGTTGTCAAAATTTTGTGAGATTTATCCTGAGATTCTGGCATTTTGGGCAAAATGTATTTATATTTAAAAATCGATTCAGGATTTTAATGAATCAATGTCACGCTATTCAAGCTAGAATCGATTTTAAAATCGGAAAATCGATAATCGAAACCCACCCCCGCACACACACTGCAAAGATGTTGACTGTGTAAAATAATACCTGTCACAGTCTTCTGTCCCTCTGTGAGGCTGTTCCAGAAGTCATCCACCATGGACACCAGGAGAATGAGCTGTCGCTGGAAGCTGGACAGCTGGTTCCACCAGTTGTGCCAGTATGCCATGTCCTGGGTGCCCTGGGAACATGTGAAAGGTTCACAGAGTCTCTGTGAGCAGCTTGTAAATCAAACCAGTAATGCGATCTGCAAGCAAAGGAGATGTGCAATAATGTGGATCATCAAAGTGCTCACCTGCATGCCTTTTTCTGAATTCTCTTCATCTTTTGCAGTCTGAAGTCTTGACTTTAGACTCTCATATTGGAGAATGGCCGCCGCACCAAAGGAGCAGCCTGTAAACTGAAATGGAGTCAGAAAACAGCCAGAAGCACTTTACTGTCCACAAACAACAGTGTACCATGCATCCATTTCATCACTACACAGCAGTACAAAACTGGGGGGACCTACCCCTACTGTGAACATCAGCGGTGTGAAAAGTGTAGGCCTGGGGACTCTAGGAGGAGGCTGGGGCACCGGGGTGCCAGCCTCAGTGGCTGAGGTGTTTGTTTCCTGCGTGGCATTTTTTTTCTTTATGTCTGGCCTTTTGGCCTCCCGACGAAATCCACACCTCTGCTGGTTGTAGGGGTTAAGACTGCCAGGAGAAAGAGGCAGCCTTTAAAGCAGGCAGTTGTTGAAATATACACAAAAAAGTATAAAATCAATGTTCAGTTTAGGGGAAGAACATAAGTGTCCTACTTGTGTCAAGCCAGCCTCCAATTCGAGACTTGCAGTCAAGCCAGCCTCCAGTTTGTTTTACGTTCCCTGTGTATTCAAAGTATTACGGGAATGGATGTGGAAACCGGATTTCAAAATAAAAGCCAACTTCGAGTGAATTAACAGATATGTTAAGAACATAATAACATATAATTTAGGCTTTTTTTTT